GCAGGAATTTGCATCCAGGCTTTTCATGGAAATGGACTCAAAGGCCCTCAGCTTTTTGCAGCCTTGCCTGAACCCAGGAGCCATTGCAAGATGTCTCAAGACTCTTGCTGTAGAGCTGCCTTGCGTTTGAGGGTGGTACCACTCCTAAAATTCACCCTAAAAACAAACGAACTCCCCACACTGGTCAAACTTCCTGTTTACATCTCTTGCAGAGACTGCCAGGGTTCTGCCATCTATTCAGAAACCACAGATGCATAGGGAAGCCTATGACAAGTTAAGCTGTTCTCATTTTTAACAGTTGTAAACAGATAAGGGAATCTTAAAAACAACAGACCTTTATCACAACAGCAGCAAACCTCACCTTGGATGAATCACAGCTAAGCAAGTAGTATTTTCAAGAACCTTTCCATGCATAGCCTGCTTTTTCATGTCAGCTGCTGCAGCACAAGTTGCTCTAGGCTTATGTTACAGCTCAAGGAACCCAGTGCCTCAGTTAGAAAATGTCTATTTACAGGGAGGGATATATCCAGTAACTTTTGGATTCCATGAATGGACATATTATAATCACCCCAACTACAGTAGAGAAAAACAGACATGAAACACTGCTGGTGAATGAAAAAAGAGAACAGCTGTAAATCGGCACCTGGAAAGAGTTTACAGAGTCAGAGAATTATATACCACAGTAACAGGATTAAGGGATAGATAAAAGACAGTCATAGCACTAAGAGAATGAAAAAGGGAAGTGACAGGTCACCTTTGCAGATGAAAAAGAAACATGTTGCATCTGTCACTGAGGAGGCTGCAAGGGAGCTAGAAGGGGCACGGCAGAGCACAGATGCATGATTCCCAGAAGATAAAGAACAGATTCTGCCCAAACCTGAGATGCTGCTTCAAAAAAAGAACTGTTAAAAGAAAAACACATAGTGTGCCCAGGATGTTTCCCTCTGTCAGAAATACATTTGCTAGTGGGGGGAAAAAAAAAAAAGTGTTCCCTTTAAACACATCTATACTTTCCTGGCTTCTTGTGGCATATGAGTGTTTGGATTTAGACGGGGCAACTTAAAGATAAAAGGTGAAGAGGTCCAGTCCAGTGGCTCAAATTCGAGAAGGGCTCAAACAAAGGACACAAGAACAGCAAGATACACTTTGCATTAGGAGTGCCTGCCCTTTCCTTCCAGCTCCTAAAGGCATCGAGGAATGGAGAAAATACAAGCTGGAGCTCTGAATTTCCACGTCACCTAGGAGACAGCATTTGAGGCAGGAAAACTTCACAGCAGCCCAGAAAAAAAGAGGGGGGGAGGGGAATCTTTCAAGGATCCTTCAAAACAATCTGCCTTCCCTTACCTATTTGCCCCCCAGGCAGAAAAACCAAAGGACTAGTTAAGACAGTCCTGGCAGAAAATATTCAAGCAACAATACAGTACCTCAAGAAGATAAAAGTTCATTCCTGTAATGTCATTGTTTCTGGTCTGGAGCAAAAGGTTCTGCAGAGAAAACTGCTCCAAGACAGACAGATTAACAGTTTAAGAGAAAAACACCCTCTCTTGTGTAAAAGAGTACAACTTGCTATGAGCTTTCATCCTCTCTTGTTTACCAAGACTTTGCTGTTTACCTTTCATAGGGTACCTGTTATCCCAACTGATTTAAGATGTTTTTTTTAAATATTTTAACTTTGCAACAAACCAAAAATTAACTAAGTTTTAAGGCTTGTGGATTTTATGACCGGAAGTTGTCTATAACAGTGGGCAGATTGGAAATGAACATCAAAAGATTCCAGACATCTTTCTGATCACAAGCAGCTGTTGTTCGTGTATTTAATCGGTTGTTTACAAACTGTTTCTTCCAACGCTTGAAAGTGAGCAAGTCAGAAAACAATGGAACATAGACCTCCTTTCCCAATTAAGGGAACATCATTCGTCAGCTCTAGAACCACACGATATTCAATTGAGCCGATCAAGTTCAGTTTGGACCTGTTTTTAAATCACCCAAGATACTAAGCTCTGCTGATTTGATGGGGCATCTCCCTCTACCCCTCAAACACTCCTGGAGTGTGCATCATGCACAGAGATGCTTGTTTCTGTCACAAGCTTTAATCTAGGTACCACAGGGTTGGGACAAAATAAAAGGACTGAGCACCCCTAACAACTTGGGTTCATACCTACACCATCTGCTTCTCTTGCATCTGTCTTTTTTCTAAGTTCTTTATCTTCCCATTACCTTTAGTCTCTAAACAGTGTATTAAGACATTATTTTATAAATAATCCATGGGAATAAGTTTACAGCATGAGCAACCTGCCTTTGGGACACAGTCTAGTACCCTCATGATCTCTTACTTGAGAGAAAAATGCAACACTTGAATAGAGAATAACTGAACACAGGATTAGAGAAGAATGCCTCAGTCATCAAGTCTACCCATCTCCACCCCTGCTCCAAGCAGCTATAGCACTGAGCCCTTCAAAATTTTTTTAAGAGACAGTTTTATGAAGAAAGATTTTTGAAGCTCCTGCTATCCCTAGTGAAAGGTTAAACCAGCAGTTACAAATTCAGCATTTAGGAAAGCCTAGTTTCAATTCACTGCTCCACCCCGTATCTTCCACACAACCCTGAGCTGTTACAGCTCCAGCACCTCTACAGAGCAATGGCCTTAGTACCTCCTACTTCACCAAGGTGTTGCAAGTGTCAGATATATTTAAGAGCATGAAGCATTCAGATACTATGGAAACCAGGGCAAGAGAAAAACCAAAAATAGATGGAAGACGCAAGCTGTTGAAAAGTCTGGAAAAGTGGTTGTGTTGCTGCAGCTGATCCCAGAATGGGACCCATTTGGAGCTCAAGCATAAAATATCCTCTCTCCACTCTTTCTGTAGTTTGTCATTTTTCTCTGCCACAGGGAAAGGAGTATTCTTTTTCCTCCTTAGACCTTTAATTTCTCCTCTATTTAATAGGTCTCCTAATTACCAGTTCCTTTGAATCATTCACATTCTAGCTCGCTCTTCCCATGACCTGGAGTAGACCGCTATCTGACTGCTTCTGTATAACAGGATTATTGGGAACATATCATGACAATAAACACTAAAGACCATTCTCCTTCTGAAAGGGAAATCCAACAGCAACCTACAAAGAAGGATGCCCGAAACAAAGAATTGAGGTGCCAGTCTGTGAAGCACTATGCCTCTCCTTTTTATAATGCAAACACATTTACGGTCCATATTCACCCTCTACAGACAAACCAGTTGCTAAAGTATAATAATTCCTTTCTTCACTAAAAAAACCCCCAAAACAACCAACCCAACCAAAAAACCACCAAACAACCCTCACCAATGCAGAAAGTACTTGAAATAGCCAGAATGACATGTGGAAGAAACACAGAGGATGCCAACATGAGGTATACAAACCATCTTACTCAACAGTCAACCAAGTGGAAGACAGTAACAGATGTAGAGCAGTTAAAGCACTCCACAAGGTAGACTGAAGCCATCTACCCCTGGAAAGCCAGGTCAGGGTCACGTCCCTCACCAGCACAGACCTGAAGTCTGCTTGAGACCAGAGGTGCTGAAGTCTCACTTCACAACACTGGCTCTAGTTCCAGGTGCTCATTAGAAGATATTTCTTGAAAACAGAAGAGTCTCTGGTCTTTGCAGCATGGCCATCACCTCAGTGAGGAAAGCCCAGCAAGGTGAGGGTAATGCTTCAGATGAGAATCCTTAGCTTTACAGTTGTCAGTGCACTTAAGGGAAAGTAAGCAGGTTGAAGGTGTCCAAGATTCTTCACCTTACAATTTATTTACTGCACCATCGATCTCAGGAATTATATCCTTCAGCTGGTTCCACTGTTCTGCAGACAGGGCAATCCCTAGAAACAGCAGAAGGAGAGGTTTCAGAGGAAGCAAGGGGTAAGCATCAAGTAGCACACCAGAGTGGCTCCTTCAGACTAGCTAAAGAAGGGAAAGTTTGAATCGGAAGCAGAGACACAGATCAGAAACAGAGGCAGCCTTCTAAGCATGGCAGTTGTGCCAGCACTTCAGCATCCATATCAAGAAGTACTCAATGCTATCACAGAAGCACCATATGAAAATATAAGCCCAAATTGCCTTTCAAGAGTCCCACAGTCCCTTACAACTGATTTCCAAGTAACAATTCTTACCCACATGAGCTGGCAAGAAATTCTGAGAACCTTACTCCACATAGCAGTTAGGACACCATCCTTTCAACCACCCAAAGGAAATAATGACAGCTCTAGCTCTATTTAAAAAAACCTGATGCTAACAAGAAATCACTAATGTGACTTAAACACTAGAGAAGAACTGGCTTCTTTTTAGATCCAGCAGAGGCAAAGTCTTCATGTCCTGTCCCTCTCCCTTACAAAACAAACACGGTGATGGAATTGCTGTGTGGGTTCCAACTAGATGTTGTCAACTTGTTCCTTTTGGCTTTGTTAAGAATCACATTAAAGAACCAGAGCCCAAGCTTTATTAAATTCTCTAGATAAAGATCGGGGGCCAAGAACTCTTGAGAAAAACAGCAGAGGCAGTATTTAAATTAAATTCTTCATAAGCTCTGTTTTAACTGACAGATATTCTGTCTTACATTGTGGGTGTGCTTTTTCCAGCCTGAAAGGAGTCCACAACACTCCTTTCCCTCTCTGCCCTCAACGGCACAGAAAAGCTTGAGGGCTTTGCTTCCCATTTTCATTACAGGGTACACAGTTCCCTTTAAGTGAGTAATTTATACTTGTAACTTCTCTGAAGGAAATTAATTTCTGGAAGGAAAACCACACTTAGTGATTATGAAGTAAACCAAGCTGAAACAAATTTGTCTGCCCTGACATAAAAATCTATAGCAAGGACCAAAAGGTTCCTCAAGAAACCCCACATTAACTGAATCTTTGCTGGGCACAACACACAGGACAGGTAAAAAGAGTCTAGGGCCTGTGAACTACAAAGCAAGCAGGTAAGTCACTGTCAAAGTTCCAAAGCGGAAGGCCTAAGTTGAGTGTTGACTCATCAGTTGAAGAGGTCTGGAGAAAAATGTGTCTTCCCTTCCTCAGATGCCTTTACTACCATCACCTACTCAGGTGTGCCACTGTATCACATCATCAGATACCTTGTCAAAAGAATAAGGAACAGCTAACACAGCAGCATTGGAATGTCTTGGTAGGGATCCAGAAGGGTCTTAACCCTCCTGCCCCCATCTACATAGGGAAGGATGGATTTACTTCTGAGAGGCTCTCCCTGCCAAGCACAGCTCCACCATTACAGATTACAGGCAAACACACAAAATGCCACCATTTTGCCCTAGGCATCATCAGTACCAAAACACAAGTTTGTCAGCTAGCAGTAAGACACAAGGCAGCAACATCAGAGCCAGTGTTTTCAGCCTACTCTCCTCCACCTTGCAGCTCTGCCCCTGCCAACCATCAGAGAAAGGACTGGTGACCAAAGATGGAACCAGAATCCTTCACAGCAGCTTCCTGCACAGCTTCTCAGAGGTCCTGCCAAGCTCCAGATCTCACAAGAGGCTCACAATCACTCATTCTTTGTGCTTTTCTTCAGTTGTTGCCACCCAGACTGAAAAAGTGCAAAACATTCCCGTGTGGTTTGCTCAGCTCCCCAGTGTGGCACGCACTGGTGGGCCAGCACCCAGGGAGACCGGCTGAGCCGGAGCTGCAGAGCCAGAGGCCGGGGCGGGGCGGCCGGGGCGGCCCCGTCTGCCACCTAGCGAACGCGGTTGTACCTTTCCTCCCCGGTTTCGTGCCGCCCTCCTTGTCAACGCAGAACTCCCTGATGTCAACGAGGGCCTTCCCCTTGAAGCAGGACACTCTGACATAACGCATCTTCCCAATCTGCGGCGACACAGAGCCGGCGTTAAACCCACCCTTGCAACAAGCTGCTCCTAAGTCCATAAGGGCCTGTTGGGTCACTCAACATGCCAGAGGACTAGTGAAGGAACAGCAGGCACCCCAGGCAGTCAGCTCAGCTACATAAATGCTCTGCTACAAGTAGAGCAGAGACCTGCATGAAGAGAAGGAGCAAGATACGCTCCTAGAGCAGATCCCTGCCCTCCATACCTGGAACATGCCCTCCTCTTCACTGCCTTGTCCTGGGGGTTTTTCTGTCACCTTTGAAGGTTTGGCCGCTGTTTTCAGCCTCTTCTCTGACTTAGAAGACGTTTCTTTCTTTCTTTTCTAGAAAGAAAAATCACCAGTTTGAACAGCCTGGTCCGAGGAGCCACAGCCCTTCTCCTGGGCCGTA